AAACAGTTAAGGCTCAGCAAGGTTATATTCACAGAGGTGACTTGAACTCAGATCCTTTGATACGCAGAGTCTGTTCTCTTTCCACTACACTGCTTGATCTCTCATCTAATTTAGACTCCCTCTCAGACCTGCTTTGTGGCTTATTGTAGGGAGTAGAACTTAATGACTAGAGCCCCAAATGGGCCATGTTGGGAGAGGTGGGACCCAAGAGCTGTAGTCTGGAAGAAAGAATGGAATTACCATTGCTATATACCAGTTAATGTACTAAACACTTTCATGCCCCATTTAATCCTTTAAATTTTATGATGTTGGTACTGTTTCTTCTGCATTTACAGATAGGGAGACTGAGACACCATTGTAATCAAGCAACTTATTTTACTGTCAGTTGTAGGGGAACCTGGAATCATTTCTCTGACTCCAAAGTCTTCAAAGGGAGGCGAGCACAGAGAGAAAAAGAAGCATCATTTGGATGGGAGTGGCTAACTTGGATAGAATAGAGCAAGAACTTAAGATGTAGTAGGTTTGATCTGAAAGTCACTGACATTGTTTTCTGCACTGATTCCTTCCCTACGCTCCCTCTGATGGTCATGCCCATAGAACTGTCTGTCTGGATGACTAACAAGTGGTTAGCAGTTCTCAATGCTAAATTCTTGAGGACTTTCCTGGGTTTATGTTTCCATATATAGTATATATTCATTTGCTGCTGCAGCACAGTGAATTTGCTCTACAGTTACAAGCAGTGCTTTGCAGTTTTATCAGTTTAAACTTTCATATCTTTATATCATCATCTAATATGATATTACCAGGTGAAAGTTTTTTTTTAATTGACAAAGTAATTTATTCTCTTCTCACAAGACATTCTATACTAATTTTTCTCAACACATATTAATTTCTCTTAAGATTGTACTAATTTCTCTCAACATGAGAGAACACTTAAAAATCTCAGTTCAGAATTAAGGCATAAGCATTAAAAAAAAAAACTGTTCAGATCATGTTTCGTTTAGAATTCTAAAAAAAAAAACTGTTCAGATCGTGTTTCATTTAGAATTCTGTGCTGCTCCCAAGACTATTATGATGTTTTCACTGATATTACTTACCTTTTCTTTATAGATCATGGAAGAGACCTACAAAATGGAATTCATGTATAGTGGGGTGGAGAACAAGCAGGTGGTGATTATCCATCACATGAGGCTACAGGCCAAAGCCTTGCAACTTATAGTAACAGCACGGACTACTCGAGGGTAAGATGTGTGGTTGGCCGAAAGGGTGGCCCTATCCTTTCAAAGACACTTCCAAATGTGTTCAGAGATCTCACCAAAGTGAATGATGCATAAAATGATATATATGAAAGACTACCTAAGGGATATGTGAGCTTTTCATTTTTTTCAGATATTCCAAGTTCCATTCTTGGATCAGATTAGATCCTTGGGAAAACACTCCAGTGGCTCTCCATTGCCTGTAATACAACGTAGGACTCATTTGGCAACAAAGCATTCTGTATGGTCCTTTATAGATTTCTTTTAGAATTTAGTGCCAGGAGCTATTTTGTTCTTTTCTGAAGGGAGTATTTATTTACTGCTTTACTGCAGGCAGTAAAGACAAATTAAGACAATGTGTTGTGCTGTGAGACTATGTTCAAATCTCTCCTTACTAGTTGTTAGATTACAGATAGGTTCTTTAGCTTCTCTGTGCTTTGTTTCCCTGTGTGTAAAATGAGAATAACGACAGCATGTATCTCGTGGTGTTTCACAAAGAATGAATAAGATAAGGGGGATGATATAGCTGAAGTGGTAGAGCTTATGCTTAGCATGCATGAGGTCCTGGGTTCAATCCCCAATACCTTCTCTAAAAATGAATAAACCTAATTACCTCCCCCAGCACCACCCCCCCACCAAAGAAGTTACCAAAAAAAAAAAAAGAGTGACTAAGATAATATGTGTCAGAGCAGTTAGCATGGCACTTGATACATGGTAAAAGCTTATTACAATGGTAGCTGTTAGACTTTCTGGTAATGAAAATTGCTATATTTCATTGATTCTAAAATGCATGTTAAAAATTTTTAACTTTTCTGAGATCAGATATTTTGATGGTGTACCGTAGTTTGATTAACAGTATTTTTTTCTTGGTGTTTCATAAAATAAAGTTTCGTCTTAAGAATGATGGCACCATGGATTTAATAGTGTACTTAAGGATCTCATTACCAGACAGAAGACACATTTGATGCTCAGTCCACCAGTTGTGTCAGCCAAAAAATGGTGTAGAGAAATAAATATGAGTGTTTAAATAAGCACTGAAAAATACTACATCAGAAAGAACATTCTGAGTATTATTTTTTCATTTGTCTTGATGGTAACCTGATAGATTCAGGTGGTGATTTAATCTTAGATATAGCCATACATTCATTTAACAAATGTTTAATCTCTGCTATGTCCCAGTCACATTTGAGAAAAGACAGGTGCTTGTGATGGCATCTACACTTTTTTATTTAAAGAAAATAGAAATCTTTTTCAGTTATATGTGATTATTATAAAAATTTAAATATTGCAGGTTACATGAAGGCTCTGTTCTCTGATAATCCACCTTTTCTAAAACAACTGTCCAAACATGTAATGTGTGTGCATTAACATAAATCGAATCATAATATGCTTCACTGTTCTTCCTCATTTTTATTTCATCCAACAATATACTATTTCATATTTCTGTGTTATATAAAGATTCTAATATATTTGGTCTTTACTCATGCTGTATTATATTCCATTTGTATGCATTCCTGCGTCTTTTTTTCCCCCTTGATTTTTGCTGGGTTGATTGTTCTGTTTCTTTTTCTTCCAGAGCTTTGAAAGTTCTGTACCCTAATTTTAACCTATTCAAGTGAGAAGCAAGAGAACACAATGGTTAAGAGGACTGTGATGCCTCACTGCTTAGATTCAGATCTTGACTCCACCGTTTGCAAACTTAGTGACCTTGGACAAGTTGCTTAAGACTTCTCTGCCTCATTTTCTTTCCCATAAGTTAAACTGGGATAATAATAGTACCTGCCTCTCTGTCATAGGGTTATTTTAAGGATTTTTGATTGATTGTTTGTAAAGCCCTTAAAATACTGCCCGACACATTCAGAGTAAACACTTGACACATGTTAGCTCATATTGTATAAATAGTATGTTTATTCTTATATTTTTAATAAACTGATTGAACTTACATTTATCAGAATTAAAAAATGAAGTAGAATTTATGAACGTCTCTATCAAGATCACATCTAATCAAGATGAAAGTTTTAGTGTATTTTTATTTGATTGTCTCATACTGTTAAGTAATTTGGAATTTAGTTTCAGATTATTTTTATTGACGTATAGTTGATTTACAATATTATATTTGTTTTAGGTGTTCAACATATTGATTCAGTATTTTTACAGATTATACTCCATTAAGAGTTATTACAAGCTAAAGGCTATAATTTCTTCTGCTATACAATATATTGGGTTATGGTTTTTAATGTATCTTGTTTTAAGAATCCTTTCTTAGAATATGCATTAACCTTTACAAGTACATTATCAAAATTATTTAGTCCTAACTTGCTCACCACTGTTCTTTTTGTACCATAATTGCCTTTTAAAATTCAGGTTTCTGGGAATTTTGTCTTTACCCCTCAGTTCTCAGAAATTACAAGCAAATTACATGTTTTATTTTTGTTTGTTTTGTTTTTACTTCTCTACAGAGTTGACCCCTTATTTGGAATGTGTGAAAAATTTTTACAAGAAGTGGACTTTTTTCAGAGGTAAGTACTTCATCCCTTCTAGCTTATTAAATCTTGGTTATGAAAAGAGTAGCACTTACAAGACTGATCACAAGCCAGAATCTTTGGTTTAGCCCATGCAGCCAAGCTATTATTATATGTGCAGGGTACCTAATTTGTATATAGTTGACCCTCAGTATTTGTGGGTTCTGCATTTGTGGATATGGAGAACCTGACTTTACTTCCATTTTATATAAAGGATTTGAGCATCTGGATTTTGGAATCTGCAAGCAGTCCTGGCACCAGTCCCCTACAGATACTGAGAGATAACTGTATTTTCTTTACTGGTATATGAACTTAAGTTAGCTAAAAGTACAACAGAATAGTAAAAATATCAGAAATCATTTTGATGATTTACTCAACTGGGCCAGAAAAAGACAAATATTATGTGAAAAAACTCTAACTCTTGTTGAAAAATCACGGCTTACCTTTTTTCACCATGGTTCTTAAACTTACATATTTCTCTGTAATCTACAAAAAATTGTTCCAAGTTCTGCAGGTAGCTTTTATTTTGTGGCATAAATATGTTTTCTCAGGATTTTTTTTGAAACAAATCAGCTAAAATAAATGCAATAGTTGAG